GAACAGAGGAGTCTTACAAGATACTAATTCCTCTTTAGTGTCAAATGGAAATGAGAGTACATGGTACAGGGGTTTATGTTCCTAAAGAAAGTTATATATTAAATATAAAGAAATCTAGAAACATTCTTGTAGAACCATTAAACAGAAGCCAAAACAATAATGTTGATTAAAAAAAAAAATTGGTGCCTTAATATGGAGGGAAACAATTTATTCTTTTCAATTCCCTAAGGAATAACTTGAAAGATCAAGTGTTAAAATAAGAATGCACCATATGAGGGGAGTGGTCAGAGGTAAAAATCTAGATCAGATGCTTACTTTCAAATAAACAAAGCAAAATATATTATTGCAGACTACGAGCTCATTATTTATTAGCTGGTGCTCTACCACAGAACACATGCTGGGGGGGAGGGTAACTGTCATATTACACAGCTGAAGGCTGGTTTGAACTCTCAGTAATACTATTTTGTTCTGTTACACTAGATACTGCATCAATGACCTAAAATGCATTTTTATGAGCTGTCCAAAAAAAAATGCTCAAGTTTTTTACTGGAAGGTCCACAAAGCTAACTCGGGGGAGAAGTGAAAGAATGTCTTGTGTCATTTCCCAAACTTCCTAAGACACCCAAACCACCTTGCAAATATCCAGGGGAAACACCAGCTACCTTTAGTTATTTCACATCTGACTACACCTTAAACCACGGGGATTCTGAGTATAAATTTAAGACACCTAAATAAAAACCTCATACCATTACATACCTTAAAATTTTTTATTCATTTCACTGGCAGGAGCAAGAGTTAAACCACCCCTACATCAGCACCACCTCTGTAACAGTGACAAGTCCATTTAGGTAATCACAGCACGGGCCTTGCAGTGCACAGGAAGGCACACAAGAAAAAAGGGAATGCTGTGTTTATATTCTCTGGTTACTTCACCAGAGCTGATGGAATCAAATCTGAACACAAAGCACCAAACTCACCCATATTATCCCAGACAGAGATTTTGACTTTTGTTCCATTTGATCCATTGAAGAACACATTATTACACATGTGAAATAATGTCTTTCCAATACAATAAATGTGAAAACTTAAAGCGATTTGTGCATTAAAAAGCACATACATTGCCACATGATGCTCCAATTAATTCAAAGGAAGATTTGTTGCAATGAGAAGGAAAAGCAGATCCCAGTGCTATGCACATATTACCAGGCTGCTGTCAGGACTGAGTAAGCCTAAAGCCCAAGGTTTACACAGAATATTTAGTATTTTAAATATAAAAAATTAAGAATTTGGTGAGGCAAGTAAAATGTTCTAATGGTAATTTTTAGAAAACATACACTTTAAAAATTCAACTAAAGCCCACAGACCTCTCTCAAGCAAGGCACAACAAACCACAGTTCTACCTAATTCAAGATATTCCTTAGGAAAAAAAAGTTGCCGAACTAATTCAGATTTGCTCATTACACAGCATTAGCCTACACTTCTTCCGGTACCACTGGAGAATTAATCAGCTGTATTTTGTTAGGAGGGCTGAGAGCAGGCAAGGTAGCACGGCATTGTTCACAGAGCAGAGTGGTGCCTCCAGGCTCTCCGAAGCGGCGCTCAGGCCCAGAATATACAGAATGACATCAACAAGTTATCTGAGAAACGTGGCCAACATTCTAAAATAAACCCATAAAATCTCTGCTGCCCGCATTAACCAGTTTAAGGTGAACCACACACACTTCAGCTCAAAGGTTTCTAAATAAGATGAGTCTTCTGCCATAATAAGCCGTTTTATTCTGCAGAATTATTTCAAGTTTGAATGCAGCCATGTCCTCCTCATTGTGCTAGTCCAACATGACTCAATTTCCCTAAGTTCATAAAATTCAGTATTCGCTTTCTTCTCCATCTGCAGTTCCACAGAGAAAGAAACTCGTATTATAGGGACCTAAATCCAGGGATCTGCACATATGCAAAGCATTCCATGGCCCCGCTCACTCAGAGGTGAGCACTGACCACATCGGTTTAAACACACACTGAATAAATGGAGCAGGACAAGCAAACGGCAAGCTGAAGCTAGTGTATTTCCACCATCATCTCTAAATGCCTGCTCACAAATAAATCACAGAAACGCTGGAATGCTCAAACTGGTTTATATCAGCTCCAGGGACAGAAAGAGTTTCATGTACACCAAAGCTGTCCTGAGGTAGAGCCTGTCCCTGACATTGAGGGATTCTTCCCATTTACAGATGATCCTCCTGTGCTACTACACGTGGACCAAGCCAACTACAGATGTAGGAAAGAATTATGGAGGAGAAAAATAACTGACCAGGGCACTGGGTTATTTTCTTTATGAAATTCCGAACTGAATGCTTTCAGTCAAAAAAGGTTCATCTCCAGCTGCACCATCATAATCCCTTAATATCTTGACAATTTGTTTCATTCTCTTATTTTTGATTAGCTGGCTTAACAAGTATAGAATTTTAAAATATCATTTAATAATGATACCCTTCAGAGAACAAAAGCACCAACATTACATCCTTTATTATAATTTATTATAATCCTTCTAAATTATGTAATTGAATAACATGTCATTTTGCACATATTCTAGCACCTCAATGGGAAAAAAAAATAGTTGAAATGAGGAACTTCACACTTCTCCCCCAAATGCAAATCACCTGTGAGATAGGAGGGAAAAAACCCCTAAATATTACATTCTTACATGTAAAAGCATTTTAAGTAATTTTAACTACTGACAGAATAGATGACAGGAATGTTGCCCTGGTATTTTTTGCACAACTCATTTAAATACCAGATAGCAATAAGAAGACACCAGAATTATCTAACAAAATATAGCTGGCTAGTTCCTAAAAATAAGAATAAAAAAAAACTTGCATAAGGAATAATTATGTGTAGACAGTTCACATAACTAAGCTCGGAAACTCATAGCCTTCCTCATGCTATAGAAAAATTTCCCAGGCTGTGAAAAAGGTTTAAAATAAATACATCTGCATTACCAATTCCATATCAAACCACTTTATTTTCCTTACTACTGTTTACAAATTATTGCTTTTCCTTCCTCCTTTGTACTTCCCAGAACCCCTTTCCTCCACTGCTCATAATAATTTTAGTCGCTGTATGGCTATGGGACACAATGTTTTTACACTAAAAATAAAAAAAAAACCCTCTTCTTAAATTATCTTTTTCGCCCCTACCGAACTCCAGTTTCTCAACTCTGAAATTAATAACCTGTCAAACAAGGCACTATGGTCAGTATTTCTGAGCAATTCCACTCTCCTCGCCGCTTAGCATCTCAAAAGCACGTAAAAATTTATTGCAAAATATAGCTCCATAAACTTAAAAAATTTTGTCTTTCCAGTCAGAAGCGGACCAGTCCTTTTTCCTCACGACTTCTGCCGCTGAACACAAAATCCTGCTGGCAGCACAACCCCGCCGTACCTTCATCCTTCTCCCTCTGGACAAAACACCCTCTGGTTCACACATCAGGAGCGGTTCTCCCCCTGCCATTCCCAGCACACCTTCCTGCGGCGCACAACTCCTTGAACCATTCCCACCTCCCCCTGCCCGACCCCCGGCCGCTCCCGCCGGCGCATTCCACGGACGGGTTCCCGGGGAGGCTTTTCCTGTTGGTTCCCTGCTCGCTGCGATGTCGCCTTCCCCAGCGACACCCAGCACAAAGGGTCCTTTCCCCGCACCCCGGGAGCTCCAGGGCCGCGTACCCCACCCTCCTTCGCTCCCTCCCGCCCGGTCCCCGGGCAGATCCGCCGGCCTGGCCCATAAATGTCCATCCCCTCCCGCAGGAAGTTCTGGGGAGGCCCCGGGAACTCGCTCACCCCGGGACCCCGTC